TCCTTCCTTCCTTCCTTCCTTCCTTCCTTCCTTCCTTCCTTCCTTCCTTCCTTCCTTCCTTCCTTCCTTCCTTCCCTCCCTAATTACTTACTTACTTACTTAGCAGGGGGTTGGACTAGAAGACCTCCAAGGTTCCCTTCCCACTCTGTTATTCTCTTCGAAATTGGATGCCTCTGCATTGCCACGCTTTGCCAGGTGCACGACGGGGACCAATCTAGCTTCCCCACCCTCAAAATATAAGATTTGCTCTTATTAAATTGATTAAAAATAATTCCCACCCCACCCCCGACTCTGTGGTCCAAAATATCCCCTGGTGAAATAGGCACCGGATGTAAGAGGAACGACAGGAGAGGAAGAAGAGGAGGGGGGAAAAGGGGGGGAAAGGGTGTTGGGAGCAGGTTGGGGGGGGGGAGGCCCAAAGAATGGGGAAGGCCCCTCTCCCAGAGTGGCCCCCCTCCCCACGGATCCCCCCCAATTCTGTCGTAGGGAATTATTCTCGTCTACGACATCACGGATGAGAAATCCTTCGAGAACATTCAAAATTGGATGAAGAGCATCAAAGAGGTGGGTGCGAAATGGTGCTGGGGGGGTTTGAGGATTTCAAAAGGGGATCAGCTTTTTTTGCGGGGGTAGATTCTCTGCAGCTAGGGGGACCCCCCCCCCCCCCCCCCCCCGACCTTTGGCCCCCAAAGATTCCCCCCCCCCCCCCGCCCCCATCCTATCCTGTTTTCCATCCGTTCTTGATTCAGATCCGGGATGGCCAAAAAAAAAAGAGGCAAATGATGGCCAACACTGCCCTCTGGTGGCCAAAACCCAGAACAGGCTCTGAACAGAAGGGAATGAAAGGGCAGTTCCCACAGACAGAGGCGTCCGCCCTCTAGTGGCTACAGGGGGGATCATTTATTAGGGCTTATAAATTTGTTTTTTTTAAAAAAGGATTGTGCATGTTCTGTTCTTGGTTATTTGCCTTCATTGGGGGCGAGTCCTTTTAACGCCACAGTCCCCTACGCAAGATGGCCGCCTGTAGGAATTGAATAAATTAGTAAATATTTACCAAAATAGGTTGATGGTTTGTTTTAGGAATGGTGGGTGGAAATATCACTTCCACCAAAGAGAGGGGGGGGGGATGTCCATTTCTGGGATCCAGGCTTAAATGTTCTTCCTTCTTTCCTCCCTACTTCCTTCCCTTCCCTTCCTCCTTCCTACTGTCCTTCCTTACCTCCTTATCTCCCTCCCTCCCTCTCTCCATCCTTCTTTCTTCCCTTCCTTTCCTTCCTTACCTCTCTTCCTTCTTTATCTCTTCCTTCCTTCTCTATCCCTTCTTTATCTCTTCCTTCTCTATCTCTCCTTCCTTCCTTCTCTATCCCCCCTCCTTCCTTCCTTCCCCATCTCTTCCTTTTTATCTCTTCGTTACTTTTATCTCTTCCTTCCTTCTCTATCCCTCCTTCCTTCCTTCCCTATCTCTTCCTTTTTATCTCTTCCTTACTTTTTATCCCTTCCTTCCTTCCCTATCTCTTTCCTCCTTTTTAAATCTTCCTTCCTTCTCTATCCCTCCCTCCTTCCTTCCTTCCCTATCTCTTCCTTTTTTACCTCTTCCTTACTTTTTATCTCTTCCTTCCTTCTCTATCCCTCCCGCCTTCCTTCCTTCCCTATCTCTTTCCTCCTTTTTTAATCTTGCTTCCTTCTCTATCCCTTGCTTCCTTTTTTATCCTTTCCTTCCTTCCCTCCCTGTCTCTTCCCTCCTTCTTATTTATCTTCCTTCCTTTTCTCTCCCTCTCTTCCTTCCCTTTTCCCAGAATGCCTCAGCCGGCGTGGAGCGCCTCCTGCTAGGGAACAAGTGTGATATGGAGATGAAGCGCAAAGTCTCCCGGGACCAAGCCGAGAAGGTATCCGGGTGCAGGAATCGCGGGACGGGGGGGTGTGTGTGTGCATGCGCAGAGCGCAGCTGGCGTTGGCTTTGGCTCTCCCGTTTCATGACTTCTCTCTCGGCAGCTGTGCAGGGAACACGGGATCAAGTTCTTTGAGACCAGCGCCAAGTCCAGCTTGAACGTGGAGGAGGTGAGGGGTCCCCTTTCCCCCCCCCCCCAAAAAAAGCCACACAGAGACACCTATTTGGCTTCCAGGCCCCCTTGGCTGTTGCCCCTGCGGCTGCAGGAGACGAGGCAGCCTTGGCTGGCGGGTGGGGGATTCCGGGCTTCTGCCTTCTGGGGGAGAGCGGAGGGCCAGCCCGAGCGGGGGCTTCTCCAAGTAGTAAACAGCCGGAAAAACAAAATTATGGATCCCCTGGTCTGTTTATTTTTATTTATTTTTCTCTCCTCGACTTCAGGCGTTCAATACTTTGGCTCGCGACATTCTTCTCAAATCGGTCAAGAAATCGGTGAGTGCCCCGTGGGGAAGAACGGGGGGGAGGGGGAGTGAAAACCGCCGGTAAAATGTGACCAAATCCCTCCTCTTCCTCTTCCTTCCACTCCTCTTTCTGTTTTTCTTTCTGTTTCCTCTTCCTCTTCCTCCTCCTCCTCATTCCAGAAATGGATGGACTTACATCAAAAACCAAACAGAAAGAAGAAAACAGAATTATTATTTCTTCTTCTTCTTCTTCTTCTTCTTCTTCTTCTTCTTCTTCTTCTTCTTCTTCTTCTTCTTCTTCTTCTTCTTCTTCTTCTTCTTCTTCTTCCTCCTCCTCCTCCTCCTCCTCCTCCTCCTCCTCCTCCTCCTCCCTCTTCTCCCCTCTTCTCCCCTCTTATTCCTCCTCCTTTTCCATCATCCTTCCTCCTTTTTATCCTCCTCCTCTATTCTTTCTCCTCTTCCATAACCTTCATCATTTTCTTTCTCCTCCTCCTCTTCCTTTTTCTCCTCCTCCTCCTCCCACTCTTTCCTTTCCTCCATAATCATCCTCTCTCCTCCCTCCTTTTTTCTTCGCCTCCTCCTTCTCCCCCCTCTCTCCTCCTCCTCTTCCTTCCCCTTCTTGGACCATCCGGGGGTCAACCAGCTCCTGACTCCCCATCTCTTCTTCTTCTTCCAGGCTCAGCTCCCCAAGAGGCCTCCGGAACTGAAAGCCACACCCAAAACCAGCTCCAAGTGCTCCTTGCTGTAACCGCCAGCCAGCCCGTTCGGAAACATCCCTATCCCGGGCCCCGTTTGGCTTGGGTGGGGCTGTTTCTCCCCTCTGCCACCCCGAGACTCCCAGTCGTTTCGGGCTGGATCCTGGAAGGACTTGGACACCATTTCCCTGACTTCTTCATCATCGTCGTGGTTTTCCATTTGGGGACTCTGCCTTTTAATCTGTGCAGGATAAATAATAACAGATAATCCGAGTTGGAAGGGACCTTATAGGTCATCTAGTCCAACCCCCCGCCCAAGCGGGAGACCCTACACCAGGAAGAGGGAAGGAGAGTTTGGGGAGGGAGGGAGGGAGGGAGTCCCAGAGCTGAAGAGGGAGAGGTTGAAAAATTGGGGAGGGGGTATTAATAACGGGGGGTGTCGGCTTCCCCTCCCCAAATCCCTGCATTCGCCAGACATTTCGGCCAGCCGATGTTTGTCAAAGTTTGCAACTTTAAAATAGGCGAACTTCCAACTCCCAGCCTTGCTAGCTGGGGAATTCTGGGAATTGGAAGCCCACCCATCTTGAAAGTTGTTAAAATAGAATAAAAAATACCAAGCCCTGTAGCTCCGCGGTGCCTTTAAATAGACATAGGAAAGAATCAGATTGGGAATCTCACAGCGGGAGGAGAAAAATCTTTTTTTTAAAAAAAGTATATAAATATATATATTTCTGCCTGCTGGGACTCTGCACTTTGGATGGGTGGAAACCCACGAGGAACCAGTCACGTGCTGGGGGACCAATTGCCTTTTGTAAATCTGTGAAGACGATTAAATATTTGCAGGGTTTTTTTTCCCGAAAATCCGGTGTGTTGAAAAGTCATTTTCTGGATTCCGCGAGGGGAAGGGAGCCAAAAGGGAGGGAGAAACACTCTGGGAAGGGTCTTCAATTGTTCAAATAGGGGCTTCTGTCCCCTTGAAGAGAAAGCGTGGGACCACTCATGTTCCAACCCATCTTACAGGGTGGTTGTTATGGGAAAACAGGAGGAGGGAGGAGTATTGTGTATGTTGGACATCTTGAGTTACTTAGAAAAGTAATAGGCAGGAGAATAATAATAATAAAATATCCATATTCATCTCTCTGTAGATGAGCTTTTAGTACATGCTGATAGATAGATAGATAGACAGACAGATAGATAGATAGATGATAGATGGATGGATGGATTGATTAGATAGATAGATAGATAGACAGATAGATAGACAGATAGATAAATAGATAGATGGATGGATGGATGGATGGATTAGATAGATAGATAGATAGATAGATAGATAGATAGATAGATAGATGGATGGATGGATGGATGGATGGATGGATGGATGGATGGATGGATGGATGGATTAGATAGATAGATAGATAGATAGATAGATAGATAGATAGATAGATAGATAGATAGATAGACAGACAGACAGACGGATGGATGGATGGATTGATTAGATAGATAGATAGATAGATAGATAGATAGATAGATAGATAGATAGATAGATAGATAGATAGATAGATAGATAGATAGATGACAGATGGATGGATGGATTGATTAGATAGACAGACAGGCATGATAGAGATCGATGAGATAGAATGATAGAATAGAATGGGAAGGGAAGGGAAGAGAAGATAATTCTTTATTGGCCAAGTGTGATTGGACACACAAGGAACTTGTCTTTGATGCATAAGTTATTAGCGTACATAAAGAAAAAATCATGAATAGATGAATCAGATGGAAAACAGTGCATAAATGATATAGATAGAAATATATAGGAGATAGATGATAGAATAGATATAATAGATGATAGATAAATATTTGATGGACAGACATGTAGGAGGAATAGGTGGATGGATAGATGGAGGAATAGATAGTAACAGTATCAGATAGAAATATAGTGGATGGATAGCTAAGTAGATACATAGATGATAGAAATATCAGAGATAGGTCGATAGATTGATAGATAACCAGGTAGATTTGGCAGCTAATAAATGCAACTATTTATTTATGGCATACAACCAAAGCGATATACAGATTCACACAGACATGCTATGAACATCTATAAATACATGTCTTAAATCCCACATATACAGGACGATAATAATTGTCCGTCCTCTTTCTCCGAGCTGCAACCGAAGACCCGAAGTGCCTGGTGGGCAAACCCCCCCAAAACGGACTTGAGCCCCTTTGCGGTTCGGCTGGGCAAAGAGCCCTTTTTTATTTATTTATTTATTTTCCCCCGCGCGTGCGCAGAACGCCGGCCCGTCGCCTTTCTTTCCCAGAATGCACCCCGTGTGTGAGGGCGGAAGTGCCGGGCGAGGATGGGGCCAAGATGGCGCCTGGCGCTGTGGGCGGTTTTGGGTTTGGTGGTCGCCCCTTCGCGGTAAGTGGGAGGGTGGGGGGGTCCCCCCCTCGTGGGGTGGGGTGGGGGAGAACCAGATGGGGGTTGAGGGTGGGCAGGGGGTCCTTTTAGGAGGGAGGGGCGTCTCTTTCTGGAGGGCCAATGCTCCCCCAGCCAGCTGCTGCTGGGTTGGACTACAAGTCCCATGGGGCTCAGGACCACCAAGGTGGGGG